CAAGATCTATATTTTATGAATAAAAAGAGATTGTTTAAAAGATTTGAGTTTCATCAAATGAAGACTCGAACTTAACTTAAACATGGCTATTATTCTCTGATCAGGACAAGTGCGGGCATTCATCAGGTATCGTACTTTAATGTCATTTATTCGCTACACTATGCCTGAACTACTGTTAACTAATTTCGGTTGCATCGGTGAGTAACTCGGACATAGAATGACTTTGTTTCAAACTTATTTTCGATTCTTCTTTTTCTCGTATAGAACAATATATATAAAACAAATTACAAAGATCGCAGCACCATAAGAACTCGGGGCATAATTTATGCGCCAGAGGCATTGAATACTTACAAAGAACGAGAGATGTCTTTATATATGATCTATTAGGAAACCGACCATTTAATATCGGTAGAAATTCATAGTTGAGCATTTTCTCTTACTCTTTCACTCACTCTCTTATCACATTCTCGTATATATATATATATATTTATAAAGTTCGAGACAAATACGTATTAACGTCTTTCAACGAATCGTGTTATAAAGACGCAGATAAAATGCAGCAAATGCATATTCCGTACGAATATTGCACATCTGGATTAGATAAAAATATTTATTTTGCATAAAGATTCACATTTATATACTTCATATTTTATGTAGATTTCATTTATACATAATTTATACATCATGAAGTGTATAAAAAGCATTTGCTACATTTTTCTTCTCCGATGATATCATGAACTTTGCGTCAAACTTATATACACGCAAAATCAACAATTCTTAACGTATCGAATATTTCACTCGTCAAGTGTACAACACCATTTTCCACGTTTTTTTTTGTTTCTAAATTTATGTTAATTGTATGTAATATGTTAATTTTGCCTAAGATATGCAATGAACGTTAAAGTATAGCACGATAAACTATATATGAATTCATTAACACATAGACACATAATAAATTTGAAAGTCATAGGACTTGTGCGTAAGTCTTTCATAAGCGTACGATGTAGAATCGTTCGCTCTGAAGAAAAGATCATACCGAAATATAATTATAATCGATAAATACTTAAAATTCATCGCGTGAATTACACAAGCAGGGTATATTCTAAATTAGCAATAAAATGATATGAAGAATACAATCATAAAATAAATTGGCTATTAAAGTACATCGCTAATACCTTGTCTCCGAATTGCAAGCGTGCAAAACTGAAAGTGATCTCGCACATTTCTCTCTCAACAATACTCTTAACAATTTGCCGCGGATTAATAGACAAATCGTTGCACTTTACGTAAGTAGAATTCTTACGTAAGTAGAGTCTTTTGTTTTTTTAAAAGAAATTCGCGCGATTTCTCTTCAGATTCCGTGCAAGGGAAAACAGCTATTCGATTAAGTCCACACAATACTTTGCGACATACGCATACATAATCGTAATTAGATAGTCCATCAAACAATTACTATTTGGTAGTGAAAAGAGAATTATATATGGGCAATCGTGTGGCACTATTTCAATGTGGTCTGAGTTCCTACTCATTTTCCTGACTAGAATTCGATTTGTTCGATTACAATAGTATTATAATCGCAATATCAAAATCATTTCGTGATGATTTCACAGTCGCTGATTCGTAGAGAATTCCCTTATTGTTCGCGGCGATTGCCTACGCGTTGAGAATCAAGCGTCGAAATCCCTGATTTAGATAGCGGATTTCTTTTTCTACTCCATTCTCGACTACATCGCGATTGTGGCAAATTTCGTTATAATCAAAGCTTATTCGTAAGCAGATATACTGCATGCAATATGTATCAAGTCCTCCCTACTTACGACAGCACTACCAAATGTTAGCATATAAAAGCTAGACTCTCTCGTGAGAGCTTAAGATATATATGGGAAATTATTGTATTATATAACAACATGTCGGATGACTGTGAGCAACGGTACAACGTGATCCGATGTGATCGAAGTTCGATATATATATATATATATATA